TTGGTGCCCAGCAGATATCAAAGCAGCAGGCTGGTTGGCAGTGGTTTGGGTTTGGTTTGGTTTTTAACCAAAGAAAACTCCAATCTAAATTCACAGCAGATTCAAAATTTGTTTATTTTGGTAAAGGACAAAGGAGGTAGAGAGCTTATGTAAGGGGGATAGGAGCTTAAATAGTAATTCTCATCTCCTTTCACTTGCTCAAAGAAAAGAATGTTTAACTTACTTTTTTAGTTGCTGCTAGTGGTTTTAGCCAGTCTGAACTAGCTGAGTTTTTATCTGGGGTTTTATTATGGTTAAGATTTAATTTAGGTGTACTATATATTACCTTATCTATTTTTCCAAGGCAAATTGAATTGAATTTTTTGTGGCCTATAAATTGCCACATTAAGAGGAGTAGTTCAAAGGGGAGTTGGTTTAGAGAGGAAAAAACCCAAACAGATGTATTTTTGCTATTGTCAGAGGAAAAAAAAAGAGAAAAATACCCAGTCTTCTTCAGAATGGGGTTTTCCCTACTTAAATTCTTTATAAAATAAGTAACAAAAAAAACTAATTTCATATGCTTCCAGTACCTCTGATACTGAGTAATGAATTTAGGCTTTTAACATTGATTATACCTGTGAATGTCATCTTCTGACCCTGTGATTTTTTTTTTTTCTTATTATGAGTTCTAATGATTGCCCACCTGAGTAATTTTGTCTATTTCAAAGTCATTTGCAAATGAGGCAATTCCTTGTGGCACCCATAGATTATGTTTTTCTTGAAAAAGAAATGTATGCTTTAAGCAAAAATTGGAAAAATCAGTGGAGCAAAAAATCCTAAATCTTAGTCTAGCTCATTGATTTGGAATCTCTGTTTAGTTAGGAAACCTCATTAATTTTCTGTCTCAAAATGTTATCTGCATTCTGCATCTCAATGGTTCATTTTAAGATGAAACATGGAGTGTCTTCAGTTACCAGTACTGTATTTTCAGAAGAGAATTATTAATTACCATGTGAAACTCAGAACTGTCTGCAAAGTTTCCATTCATAAAAGGAAAACTCAGGTAATGAATGAGATTTGGCTGGGGTTCATACCTAATTTTGGTAGTGATCTCTCACTGGATTTTCAAATTCCATTTGTGTTCTGGGTGCTGCTCTGTTAACTTCTCCATCTGGTCACAGATATAATCAAGAGACTTACTTTTTGAGATTAAATATTTGAATCCTGTGTGAGGAAAAAAATGTTGATGCTTCTATAAATAGTCTGTCATGTCAATAGAGCAGCATGGCATGCTAATAATGGGGACAGGATCCTGTAACCAGTGAACCATTCTTATTCATGGAATGTTTTCTAAAAAGTAATAAACTCTCTGGCAGCCTAAGAGGAGAAAGTTCTGCCTTGTGCCTATATGCTACTAGACTTTTTTTTAATTTGCAGGAAATTATATGAATGCTACTTCAATTACACTTGAGCCAGTTCAAAGGCTTAAAGCTGCTGAAAGGGAGAGTTCTTGCTTCCATTCTTTCTTGCTCCGGTTTTAGTGCTCAAAAGGTCTTTTGGTCAGCTGATTTGTCTCAATAATCCAGCAGCAATCAATCTGCTTTTTTGAAGTTAGTTGCTTTCTTAGTTTCCTCCTGTAGTTATTTGGGTTCAAATAGGAGGTTAACAAGTATCAGAAACAAAAAAGGCTTCACTTCACCAACTAGTACCTTGTACTTTCTGACACCTTAAATTTTAAATAGTTTTGACCTGTCTTGTGGAACTACACTTTTAGACAACTTGCTGCAGAACCAAGTGAAACATGATTTTTAGGCTTGCTTGGCAAGAGTTATTAATTTTTCTGAGAAAAGAAAGCACAAGTATTTCTTCCAAAAATCTTGTTAACCACTGCCTTTTTTTGACAGGCTTCCTTGCTTTCTTACACAATGAAAAGTATCCTCAAAGAAATATGCTATCAGGAAGGAGGAGTGAGCAGAAAACAAATTAATCTAAATAAAGGATTTAGAGAAATGTATTTCTGCCCCTTAAGAGAGAATATGTGTCTATATATCAGTTAGGTTTTCAGTAGTAAGGATGAACTTTCAAACTGTTCAGAGGCAGGACGCATTACTTAAAACTTACTTGAAATACCATGTGCTGAAACTTAAAAATAAATTGGTTTGGGGAAGCAGTTTTGATATCTTGATCCTGCTGGCTGTCTCTACCAAGTTTGGCTGCTCCCACTTTGCTTTGACTGATGTATTGTAATGGGTCAGTGAACTTTCATCATAGAAAAGAAAATTTAGGGGTGAATTAAGGTGTAATTTTGTCTCATGATGCTACAATGTTTGACTCAAATGAAACAGGTCTAACCAGGAATGCTTTGAAGAAGCCTATCTTCCAACTCTGCAAACGCTGTTAAATGCTCCTGCAACTTCACCTTTGGCTGAAATAGATATCAGTAATGTTTCTGAACTGTTAGTGGACCTGACCAGACCAAGTGCAGTGAACCCTCAGTTTAGAAAGTCTCAGGACAATCAGGTACAGTGCGTTAAACTGGAGAAAAATAATATTTGTGTCTGACCCCCTTCCTTTACTGCTAGCTGTATGGGCCTCTTTGAGATTCCTAGTGTCAGAAGCTGGAGTGACTGTTCAGGTAACAAAATCTTTTAGCTTGACCTCCCCTCTCTTCAATTTCCCGTCCCTCTTGCAATTAAAAAATTCTAGTAGGAACTTGCACCATGGCTAACTGTCTATATTAGGAAAAGTATTTATAAAAATCAGTTGGTGTATGTACTCAAAATTCTGCATTTTAGGAAAATGTTTACTCTGTAAAATTAGTCATTAGCTGCTTACATCAGAATGATCTCATTGCTGTCTTTTGAAAATAGTTCTCAATGAAGTTTCTGATATATAATTTATTTCCTTTACAGGACTCAACAGTGCATGATAGTTTAGCAATTAAAATTTGCCATGAAATCTTGATGGACCCAACTGCACCAGATGTTCGTATTTATGCAAAAGCTTTAAATTCACTAGAACTCAGTAGTTCTTCCACAGACAATCTTCTGGTTTTGCTCAATGAGATTCAAGAGGTAGCACATGAATAACATGATTCTTACTTTTTAACCATTAGCAATCTTATATTCTGATATGCTTAAAAATGAAGAAGTGCCTTTTGTTTACTATGACAATGTGACTTAAATTTCTCTTTTAACCAGTCTTTGAAAATTAATTTTTGATGAGTTATCTACAAAAATCTAAGCTAATATCACTGTATAATTTACGTGTTTCAGCTACCATAGGTAGTAAAACCAGCATGAAACAGTGTGCCCAACTTGATACATTTCAGTACAGTAAGTTCTTTTGATAACTGTGGTGTAGTTAATTTTTTTATGTTAAAATTAAATCTTTCATGATTTGGATGGCTTATCTTTAGTTAATAATTAACAGCTGAAATTTTATGCCTATGCTTTACAATGTAATTGTACCTGTAATTAGGTAACATGAAAAGGGTGCTTGATTTAAGATCAAGTGGGAAGGGATTACAAGAGTGATGTGGAGGTTTTTACTTTGTTGCTTTTATTAAAATGGAAAAAATAAAGTAAAATTTGTGAGTGTGACAGAGGAAGACAATGGTGTATAGAAAAGTTGAAAAGAATGGTGATCCACTATGGGCATATCATCCAGAGACAGCAATGCTCCAGGACTCAGCTGGAAAGGTCCAGTTGCTTTAATGTTTTTAGGTTTCCTTGAAAAAAAAAATAAAGTATTTTGGAGTTTCAGTGAAAAGTATTTTGGAGTTTCAGTGCCTGATGCTGACTGAGAATGTGTTTTCTCCTTTCAACTTGACTGATCATCTTCATGTCACGTGTTGTGTCTTTTGTACAGTAAATTTAACTAATCCTATTAGTGGGTAAATTTAATGGAAGAAAGAAATAGTTGTAAAATTAAGTTGCACTTAATATTAAATGTCTCTTCTCCAGAAAGTGAAGGATAAACTGTGCCAAAGAGCTATTGAGAAGATCAAGATGAACTTGACCAAAGATTCTAATGTGTGCAAGGACCACTCGGAAAGGACTGAGGAAACAGGCCTCTCTGAAAGGACACAGGAAACTGACATCACATTATCTGAAAATACTGTTCAAAATGAAGAAGGTAATTCATGAGAGGTGTAGGTTAGTAGTAGATATACAACCGAGTGACTTGTTTAGACATACATGAAAATAAGTTTTCCTCCATTAAATCATCTACTCTTTGAAAAAATGGGAAAAGGTAACATCTAGTAAATATGCATACAGTTTAAAATATTTGTGCTGAAGTGTTTTCCATTTTTTCATTTATCGGATTCTGTGTTTTCTTTTTCTCCATATTACTCTAGTATAACCAGTGCTGTATTTTGAGTCTTAAGCTCTGTCCCGCAGCTCTTTCTTTTTAACAGACAGTATTAAAAGGGACTTTTTTTTTTTAGCTGTTTGGCACACTCATGTGCCTGCTAAATACTAGTGCTGACTAACTCATCTTTAAAATGTGACTTGTTAACTTGGAGGAAGAAATAAGTTCTTTGTAGGTTTTTTAGACTTTGGAGTTAATGTGGCTATGCTTCTTGCAGACTGTATTATAGCAGTCTATAGCTGATATCTTTAGTGCTGATAATGGTCTGTCCTTGTTAGAAGCTCGTATGTTGGAGCCAGATTTGGTTTTATCGCTATTTAATAGCTTGAAGTGGAAGTAGCTAAAAGAGTTTCCCCTGCCTGCACAGCTTCTGCAGCTACACGTGCCTTAGCAACGTACATTGTGCTGGTAGCAAAGAAAGTCCAACATTTTTCGGTAGAAAAGCAATTGGATGAAACTTGTTTAGGTCTGCTTGCAGCACTGTTTTAAGCAGATCATGTTTTCTCTTAATATTTGTTTTAATTATTTGTTTATATTATTATTTCAGAGCTTTAATCTGTTGTTTCTGGAAGTGTCTAATACTTAATCTCTTATATCTTCTATGTTTATGTCTTCAAATATTTATTGGATGGGAAGTTGGAAGCATGCTTTTGAGAAAATAGTTGTACTGTTTTCTACTAACATCTCTGAAAATACTTTTTGGTATAAATTTCTCATGAAAGAGGATTTTTGAGCACTTTTAAAAGCAGGATGCTTCCCCTCTCCCACCCCTCTGCGAATACATTTGGGGGATCATTACAAATAAAGCGGCATTTACTACTTCAAATTTGTAAATGATAGCTGTGTGCAAAAAGGGCAGCAGACACTACTTCTGTCTTTCAATTGCTGCAAAGGAGATTTAGTTTTCATGTTAGGAAAAAAGCTTCCTAGCAATAACAGAGAATGCTGAAGAAAGAGATTTCCTAAAATTGTTAGAAATTTTAAAACTAGAATAGGATATTTCAGTTGGAAAGGATCTAGACTGATCATCTAGTCCAACTGCCTGACCACTTCAGGGCTGAGCAAAAGTTAAATGTGTTATTAAGGACATTGTCCAAATGCCTCTTAAACACTGACAGGCTTGGGGCATCAACCACATTTCTAGGAAGCCTGTTCCACTGTTTGACCACCCTCTCAGTAAATAAATGCTTCCTAAAGTCCAGTCTAAACCTCTCTTGGCACAGCTTTGAACTATTCCCATGTGTCCTATCACTGGATCTCAGGGAGAAGAGATCAGCACCTCCCTCTCCACTTCTCCTCCTCAGGAAGCTGCAGAGAGCAATGGGTCGCTCCTCAGCCTCCTTTTCTTCAAACTAGACAAACCCAGGGTCCTCAGCTGCTCCTCATAGCACATCCCTTCCAGCCCTTTCGCAGCTTTGTTGCCCTTCTCTGGATGTATTTGGGTGCCTGAATATCTTCCTTAAATTGTGGGGCCCAGAGCTGCACACAGCACTCCAGGTGAGGCTGCACCAATTCTAGATAAAGTGGGATAATCCCCTCTCTTGACCAGCTGGTCAGATGCGCCCCAGGATGTGGTTTGCCTGCTTGGCTGCCAGGGCACATTGACACTACTGACCTGTATTCTAAGCCCGCTGTCAAGGAGCATCCCAGATCCCTTTGTGCAGGGTTGCCCTCCAGCTACTCCTCTCCCAATTTATACTTGTGCCTGTCGTTACTCTGTCCTAGGTGCAGAATCTGGTATTTGGTCTTGTTACATTTCATGCTATTAGTGATCATCCAGTGCTCCAATCTATCTAGACCCTGCTGCAAGGCCTCTTGTTCCTCAAGAGAGTCAACAGCACCTCCCCATTTGATATCATTAGCAAACTTGCTAATGGTGCATCAACTCTGCGTCTGGATGGATCATTGATAAAAATACTGAACAGAACTGGCCTTAGAATTGAGCCCTGAGGAACACCCTTGGTGACCAGTCTTCCAGCCAGATGTAGCCCCATTCACTACAACTCTTGGAGCTCTGCCCTTCAGCCAGTTCTTCACCCAGCGCACCATGAACCCTCTCAGCTCACAGTTGGCCACTTTGTTCAGAAGGATGGACCATGCATCCAAGAGGACCGGGAAGCCCAAGGTCCATCAGTAGTATTAAAGACTGAGGCAAAAAAAGCATTGAATGCCTCCGCTTTTCCTTCATTCCTATTAGTCAGGTGACCATCTTCACCAAGTATTGGTCCAATGTTTTCTTTAGACCTCCTCTTGCTTCTAATATACTTTAAAAAGCCCTTCTTGTTGTCTGACACAACACCGTCCAATTTCAACTCAAATTGAGCTTTGGCTTTTTGTGTCTTCTTGCCACATATATGAACCACAGCTCTGTAATCTTCCTGTGAAGCCTGACCACACTTCCAGAGTTTGTATAACTTCTTTTTCCTCTTGAGCTCTATGAAGACTTCCCTGTTCAGCCAAGCTGGTCTTCTAACCTGCTTGCTTGAGTTATGACACAATAGAACAGACTAAATGACTGTCAGGAATAGTATACATGTGATTGACCTATGTTGGGGCAGGTTATAGCTGAGTGACATTTCAAGCTTCCTTCTAGCCTTATTATCTAATTTCTAGTTCAGGGAAAAAGTGGGGTTAAAAATGTATGACTTTCTTATATAACAGCCAAAATTTAAAATACTGGTACTTAAGATAAATTAAAAGTTGATTATCTATGACTTCTGCATGTGATCTTCTGTTTAACAGAAAATAATAAAGATGCTCCTCACACTCCAGTTGATCAAGTTAAAAGCAAAGCAAATGCAAAACTGAAATCCGTGAGAAGCAAAGCTGGCAAAGGTATGCACTAGCTATTTCTGTCTACAATACTAGTTGCTTTTAATAAAATAATTTCATACTAACTTTTGGTGAACATATAGATATAAAAATCATTCAGTCTTTGTTGTTGTTTTTAAGATTTTATTTCTTAAAAGATTAAAATTGTCTGTTTTGTGGAAATTTTTGTGCTGCTAGCCTCTCCCGACAACACAGATTTAAAAAAAGAAAAAAAATTCTGACTACAGAATTTCAAGATAATTTGTCCACAGTCATTTACAGTAATATACAGGTGTTTATGGGAGAAGTGGTACATTCCAGGATTTTTGTTGTTGGTTTCCTTTTGTCGCCCCATTCTGTCTGTGGTGACTGCATATTTATATGTTTCAATGCAATATCAAATACTGAAGAAAGATACAAAACTAGTTTAAGAAAATAAATGGTATCATGATATGAAAAGAGACTTTTCTTATACTTAGGACAACAGAAAGCAGCAGCAGAAGCGAGGTCTGTGAGCAGAAAAACGCCTGGCACCACTGTAAAATGCAGCAGTGAAAGGTAAATCCTTTTCTCTTCCAGCATTAAAACCATGATGTCTTTCTAGCAAGGAAAGTCAATTAACATTTTCTTCTTTCTCAAAATTTGCATCTTTAATACCCTCTATTCCTAATACACAGATAAAAGAAAAATTCTTTGAACTGCTACTTTTGAAACAATAGCAGGTTTGACAGCTTCGTATTTTATTATTATTGCCTAAGAGCCTGTAATTAAATTTTTTTAGCATATTATTTGCGTGTAGAATTAACATACATTCTAACCTACAAAAGAGATTTTTGGCTTACATTATTACTCTTCTTCCAATTACTTTTTTCTGCTTTTTAAATAACTGTTCTGTGGACGAATTGATTTTTTAAAGTTTAAATTCTATTTCCCCTTCCCATATTTTGGTTGCTTATTTTTCAACATGTAGTTGATAAGCGTTTCAAAATGACTGCATTCCTTCCCTTATGATCTTGTCTGATATAAACATTAAAATGACATTATCTTTGTAATTTTCAGCTGTG